TTTTTATATTTCTGTTAAAATAAGATAGTTTTAATAATATTAATAAAAATAACATACAAAATACATGTTATTTTTTGAATAATAAATTCTAATCTTTAATAATAAATAACTCTAAAATATTTTTTAAAATTAGAAATATTATCGACTATAATTACTGATAAATGTTTCGAATTTATCTGCTATGAATGATTTTAATTTATTCTATATATTTTCATTTAAAAATAAATATCTTAATATTTAACATTATTATGTTATGACAGAAAATAAATACATTAAAAAATACGTTTATTTACGATTATGCATTATTGGTTTACATTTTTCTTTTTAATTTTGTAATAAATTATTTATTCTTTTTGATTAATAGAGTTTAACTAAGCAAGAAAAAGGTCGTTTTGAAGCTATGGCCAAAAATGATAAAATTACATCTCAAATATCAGACAAAGACAAGAAAACATCACTTGGAGAATCGCTAATTATGCTTCAACTAAAAGAAAAGGAAGCACTGATGTTTTATAAAAATATGCAGGAAAACATAAAAGTACTAATCGACACAGCTGTAAATCTTAATTGTACGTATGCTATATAACACTATTTCTTGTAGAAATTTAAAAATAATTTGCTATATTTGATACTTTTTGCATTAACTTTAAAGATAATTTTTGTTTTTAAGATGCAGAAGTTAAAAAGTATAACAAGTATATTAAATGTATCGTAATCTGTATATGCAGTTTAGCAAGCTCACATACTTTCATTTGAATTTAAAATCTCTAAATCAGATACAAATAATAATGAGTTTATACTTTATTAATTTTGATTACACACACACACACACAGTTTCCAAAAAATAATTTTTGATAGATAATTTACACCATACTGAGTAAAAAAGACCTTAACGTAGATCAAAAACTCAATTGTTTCTAAGATATAAATATTTTTTATATGTTTTTTATTCAATATAATTATCTCTCATATAAATGCTGAATGGTCTTTTGACAACACCCTGTATGTATATGTGTGCGCGCGCGCGCGTGTGTGTATACACATATACATATACATATACATACATGTATATAATACATATATACATGTGTATATGTGTGTATGTGTTTATGTATATTAAATATGCATTAATAATACTCCTTATTATTGCAGTTTTGGCAGAACTGAAATTTTGTTTTGTACATGTTAACTGGTTTTTCTCTATGATTGTTAACAACACTCTTGAATATTTTCCTGCTGAATATACATTTGGAGTTTTTTCATTGGAAAACGGTATAGAGGATGTACATCATACTATTGTCAGTGCTAAAATTCCATTAGGATATAGACGGGAAGCACTAGAGATAAGTCAGAACAGTCATAAAATACCTGTAGAATACGAAGGCGGAGAGATTGACTTTGCTGTTATGTATGACAAACTAGCAAATTTCCTAGAATCTAGGAAAATTGTGGATCAGTATCCTTATCTTTATACAAGGAAGGCTTTCACACGAGAAGCACAATCCTTGATAGCAAGATTGTGTGGTGCAGCACGTAAGTACACTTTTATAATAAAAATGTCACATCACAATATACATATATACTTTTTACAATAAATAGAAACTTTTTAGATGTGCCTTATACTAATATATGTTATTTAAATAAATTTGCTTTTATTCCAGAACAAGATAAAGAGCAATTTAAAATTTATGAATTGGAGTCATTGTTCGTACATTTGGCAAATGAATTATTCAAGAAAAGAAAAGATCGAGATATGGATTTAATTCCTGTTTATGCTCATAAAATATTTGAAAATTATACGTACCGATTTGATAAAGGATTTGAATGTCATGTAAAAATAGTTTCATTATTTTCTGATATTATAAAGTGTATTTATTCATATTGTCATTTTGTAATATTTAGTTTCATAAATATGTTGATGGAGGACCTGAATACTGTAGTAAATCTGTACTGCAACAATGGGCATGGACATTATGCGATGAGTTTTGTGCACCACTTAATGTCGAGATGCAATCAGGAATACATCAGCCTGATAGATTTGATAGAAATCCTAATCATTTCAACGAGCAAAGCTTGATGTCAATGATGAACAAGTTGCAAATCAAGAATGTTCCTCAAGTTACACCTGGGGCCGATTTATCTATGACAGGCGTAAGTACACAATATCTTAAAAATATGTTGCTGTAGACATTTATACATGGACAGGCACATTATACATATTTGTTTAAATAGTTTTATAAAATATACATAATACTATATATAGTGAATGAGATTTCTATTAATTATCTTATAACAGGTAAGTGAGCAACATAGATGGAACCGTTCCAGTAGAACATATCAAGAAGAAATGCGCCGTCGAAATGAATCAAAACCAGTACAAGTTGTTGATTGTAGCAAATCTCAAGACGATACTAGTACATCTAATGATAAATCTTCTATTACCAAGTCAGCTAGCAAATCTGCTAAGACGCCTATTGAAGAAAGGACTGAATATGTATGTTTTTAAATATAATCTTTACATTAATTGAAAAATATGTTGTTTATAAAAATTTCATATTATTTTAGTTAAATGAAAAACCATTGCGACCTCCAAATATTGATTGTAAGTTTGGAAAACTCTTTGCTTAAATTAAAGATGAATGAATATTTTATATAATTTGTCTATTTTTATTAATAAAACGATCTTATTACATAAAATACTATAATACTAATAAAATGTTCACATTAGCTTATATACGTAATTATTTCCAGCACGTATGTATATTACTTCCGATTTAATTCCAACAGATGATGAGAACTTTCCTCCTATTGGTAAGTTAATATATAATGTAACTATACAGTTTTATATAACATTATAATCGAGTATAATTTTTTTATTGCAATAATTACTCGTGAATGATTAAATAAACACTTGTGTAGGAGGAAGAGGCGCGTCGATCAGATCTCGTACTTTCCAATCAAGAAAGGCGTCTCTAGGCAAAGGTAGTATTTTATCACCACAAATTTATTACACGTTACAGTAAATAGCTTATTTATTATATTATGTAAATATTTTTTGTGAGAATTTTATTTCAATTTTTCTATAGGACAAGGACATACATAAGCATATTTTTGAATGATTAAAGGAAGCATATTGCCGACATCTACAATATACGGAATAAGCCATAAACCGTAAGAAATTGACCAACCATAGTCGATCATTTTCCTTATGTTTATGATTGATCAATTTCTTACGGCTTGCAGCTTATTCCGTATATTGTAAACGATACAAGAGATCTGATACATCATTTGATGAACTTCAATAACGATATTTGACAACGAGCTTCACATACTTAAATCATATGTAATAGTCATTTAGTTTACGATGAATGTTATAATACCAAAGCGATTTTACTTTTATTTTACCAAAGAACTTACATAAAAATTTGTATATCAAACATTTATTTAGAAATAATGAGAATATTTGTCCAGCATATATTTTGTTTAATGAGCTTATTTTTGATGATATAAAAAATGTTTTAAATGAAAGTGGAACGGTTTTGAACGGAACGTATTGTGGTCGTATTGTTTTTATTCTAGGTGAGGACATCAAAAAGATATGAAGATCATCTCCACTTTTTAAAATGGAATTATATAGTTTTTTTAAATAATGTGATTCCTCTAATTATATTCATCTTGAAAGAAAAAAAGATATGTTATAACATCTTGCTGATATGATTTATTTCTAAAATGATTAAATCATGTTTTATAATAATGCATAAGTAATAAATTTCTTTTTTATTTTTTAAATTATTTATTATTTAGTAATTAATAACTTTACCTTTGTAATATTTATTGTAAATGTGTGTAATAAATTTATTTGTTGCAATATTGCAATATTTGTTGAGAGAGAATTACAATGTAAGAGAGAGTGTTAAGAAATTGAGTTTTATAAAACTTTCTTAAATTTACAATTTTATAAAAACAAATTTTTGTAATATTTTCTTGATATATATA